TTTCTCAGAAATCAGAGAGATAGTAGTGGTTGTAGCTAAATAGAGGACAGTTGGCTCTGCATTCTGTTTTTGAGGCCAAGTTTTAGAAAAATAATCTAAATAAGAGGTCATGGGGCACATATTTAACAGTGTCTCATGGTTTTAACTCTGAAGCTAAATTCATATTTGTTGGAAAAGTCAGTATCTTGGAACTAGAGAGTAAAATAATTGGCAGGAACAACTAAGAAGAATTTTAACAAGTGAACCCAGCTGTAAGGAGATTTTACACACACATACACACACACAGAAAACACAAATGAAGAAACCAATCTTATATTCATCACTTAGTTGCTATGATAACACTAGTTTATTTTAGAATTCCCAAAATAATTCTAAATTTTGGGGCCGGGGATTTAGCTCAGTGGTTCTGCTGCCTGCCTTGCAAGCGCAAGGACCGGAGTTCGATCCCCGGTACCAAAAAAATAATTCTAAGTTTTAAATATATAAGGTACACTGAACATTTGGAGATTGCTCTAGCAATATATTTGGTAATGCTTAATAGCTTCATGAAAAGGAATAAGTGTGAGCCTTTAGATGTATTTTACATGACTATTCAGTGAGTGGCATTATCTTGATAAAGACCTTGTTTTTAATTCCTGTCTTCTTGTTTGTGTCATTTTAATCAATAGGATACAAACAAATCCAGCTCACCAAGATATTTTTTATGTTGTCCTTTCCATGAAATTTATGCTTTGAAATAATTTGCGTACCAAATTCTGTACTCATTAATAACTGATTCCTTTTCTCTGTACTCTGCCCTTAGTCTTAGAACCATGTCTAGCCAAAAGTTTATTTTTGATACATACTTATGAAATAGTTAATAAATATATATTCAGATATGAAGATACATTATATTATTTCTGTCAGGCTTTGGAATATTTAAAATATGTTGAAGGACCCACATATAACCATGTGTAAATCTGCTTAAGTGTCACCATTTCGAGATTACATAAGTAAGTAAATTTCTGAGACACAAGAAAAAAATTAAATGTTTACAGTACTGGTTTCAGTGATTTCAATGCCTCAAGGGAATTATGACTTTTGCATAGAGAAACTAAATGAAAACATTTCTCTAATCATTATAATAACTATAACAAAGGTTAATAACTGCAAGACCCTGACTAATACATTTAATGTTTTACCCAGAATGAAAATACAAATAGATGGCATTGTCTCTGCAAAATTCTCATTAAGTTATTTATCAGATACTCTGATGCTAACTACCTTTGACAACCCTGGACGTAGAACTACAGGGAAAACCTCAATTCATTTCTTGGATTGATTTTGTATATAACCAGTACCAATGATATCCCCTACCAAAAGGGAGTCATATATGTGTAGGTATTCTGGCACAGCATATGATAGGAGTAAAAATCAGGAATGATTGTTATTTTTACCCAAGAAAAAAATACTTCATAAATTTGGAGTTGGAATCGGAAAAGTCAAATGTATATAACAACTCCATAGTATTAGGACTTAGACTACAAAAATGCAAAGGATAGAAGATGATTCACAGAAGGATGATATGAATTGTTCCATAACACTTTCATAATTTTCGGTGAGACTCCAGGGAAAAGATTGCAATAGCTTTCAAAAATGAAAGTCAAACAGGCAAAATCTCATAGTATGTAGAAAATACTATTGAAAAAAAGAAGCATGTCTGTAACAAATCCATTTTTATACCCAGGTCACAAAATCATCACAGGTGCAACAAGTCTCTTGTAGAGTATCTGTGTTGGTCTGATTAAAGAAATCTTAAAAATAATGTATAAAGTATTCCTTGGTTCCTGCCCTCGCCGTAATAATGAATCACTGGAATAAAGTGTTAGTGACAAATCCTCTTCACATGTGATTTTTTTCTGCGGAACTAGAAACTGATTGCTTCTATGTTGTATCATAACCTGTGAAGTGGAGATTTCCTAAAAACTCCCTTCATTCCTCTAGTCTCCAAAAACCCAGTCACACATTGCAACTCCCAGAGAAACTGAAGTGTGAAATACCCTATGAACTTTCTCAACCAGTTAGCAGATACCTGTTGAATCTCCACAAGGTCAAAGGCACCCTGAAAAGTGATCAAGATGATTCAAACGGACAATGTCTGGAGTTGGCCGTGTGCCAGTGTGCAGATGTAGATCTGCACTAAATTTGAAGTCTCATTTGTTAGTTGTTAATCGTTGGCCTACTACAGGAAGATTGGGATAAACTATTTCATCCCTGTCTTATGCAGCCTGGCAATGCTATTTTTACCCCAGAACTCACTGTAAGAAGATTCTATATAGGGAAACAATTCAAATGCCCTTGGGACTGGGCATGAGTAAGGGTGCATCATTATGGAAATTTACCAGTTCTACCAAACAATACGTATTGGTTGCTTGGCATCACACTCTTTGAAAGATCACATTAAGACAGCGTCTTTAAATCATGAGGTGGTAAAATTTAATGTGATGAAAATGTGATATTCCATTACATCAAAAAATGATATCAAACTGCTTTAAAATTTTTATAAATGTGGGTTTAAAAAAAATCTCCTACTGGGCCAGGGATTTGGCTCAGTGATTCCGCTGCCTGCCTTGCAAGCACAAGGGCCCGAGTTCAATCCCCAGTACCACACAAAAAAAATGAAATAAAAAAACTCTCCTACTTGCACAGCACATGTGGATTATGGTGGATGCAACGGACCACAGCTTTTGGATATATGAATCTACCTTACATGCTTTGTCAATGACCCAGTGATACCTTTCCCTCCATTTTTCTGTGATTTCATGCTACAATAGTAAGCATATCAAAGAGAAACGTTGCTTGACCCATAAACAAAGGTACAACTTCTTAGAGCTATAATATGCAAGTTACATTAGTAGCTTGTATCTTGAATAATAAAAAAAAAAATTTCCCTACAGAAGGGAGTACAATTTCTACCACTGACTTAGATTAAGTGATGAGGAAACGAAGCCACTTTGAGCCAAATATTTTCCCGTGCTCCAAATCCCTGTAACTCATTTACCACTTCCCTGGGAGAAGAGGTTTAGTTCACACTAGAGGCAGTGAGTGGATGCAAGCCACCTTTTGTAAAGCTCTTTACCATATTTGTATTTCTCATATTCTTACCAGCATGGGAAGCCATGAGCTATCATGTTTCTTTGTGCTCCTGTATGTCAAAGCAGAATTATTGACTCAAGCAGAAAAAAGTCTATTTCTAATGGGGTTATCAGTGAATTAAAGCATTTATATGTCACAAGAATATTCAGATCTGTGGATTTTTAAATTTCACATAAGAAAACATTCAGTAAACATTTTAACTGCTAATGTCTGATTTAGGCAAGCAACTTTGTTTAAACCAGTATTAACCTTACACATAGGGGTTGACACAACTGTGATGGGTAGTTTTACAAAGTGCTTTTTGTCCACTGTGGATCTTGGCCTGTTTTCTGCACACAAGGAGCAGCATTTTATTTGCCATAGTTCAAATATGTCTTCTCTTCGCAGTGCCCTTCTTATGCAGGTGTGCCATTTCTTATGCTTTTAAGGTGAGGCATTTTTCTCTCTCCATAACTCATCCTTCTATTCACCACTACTCCCAATAGCAGCTGTCTCGAACCTCTGAAGCCTTGGCAAGATCGCTTGAGTTTTAAAATCAAGTGAGGTGTTTTGTTTTGTTGTTTTGTTTTTGATATTTGATATTCATAACACATTCTAGCTGTGTTCATCTATTTACGTGAACCACTCATGGTCCTTACTGTCAGAGAGGCAAGGGCTCTGCCCCGTGCAGCCATGGATCCAGAACAGTTGTTTTCCAAGATGTTTTTGATGCTCTCTGCAATTCTGACTAGACTCTTCAGTGTCGGGCTCCACTCTCAAGGTTCAAATGGTGGAAGTATGATGAGTAAGTAGAGGAGATTTCCAATAAGCTTATCATTGCTTTTCCCCAATTTTAATACTACTATTCACATTAAGTAATATACAAATAGATTTAAATGTAAAGATCAGATTTCCGCATTTAGCACTTTCTATCAGAATATTTGAAGGAGTTTTTTTTTAATGTACAATAGTCTTTTTATATGATCAGCCTTCCATTTGGGAGAGGAAGCACTTGCCATTTTTGTCAAAGTTATTGTAAACATCCTTAGTTTAGAAATTGGAAACATGAGATTTGACTGTTGCTGTGGTAGGTTTCACCGTACTGGAATGCTGATAGAATAGCATAATGAGAAAAGATGGACAATTATTTGGTTTGTATTTTTACTTTCTTTAAGAACCCAATGTTTATTGAGGGTTTTTATTATTACCTGGAGCATTACTATTCATTATTGAATAGTGAGTAAATGAGCATTTGAGAAGCGTTACAGATGCTTATTCTAGCCTTTTTCAAAGTATTACTAATTCTCAAGTAAGTGTCATTCCACAATTTGAGTCATTATTTAATATGATATATTTTTCTTAGCTAATATATAGCTCTTATCAAATCCAAAATTCACTACACAACAAATTCTACAAGAATATCAACGATATTTGGATAGAAGTAAAAGTACTGAATATTAAAATTTCTCTTTATGAAATGTATCAAAGAATAGGAGATGTTAACCCACCGATTTATGGAATAAAGGGCATCTGGTAGTTATATCTGTTTTTTATATTTCTCAGCAGTCCTCAGCCTGATAGATTTCAAACTTCATAGGGTGTTTTCAAGTCAGGGCCCACTGTGAAAAATCCCTAGAAAGTATTACAAGCAAGTTGCTCACTTCTGGCACGTTAGTTAATTACTTCACAAATTTGTTCATCATGTTCTCATTTCACTTTTATAAGCACAATAACACTTTCTTTTACTGAATGTTACCAACATTTCGTTTCTTAAAGAATCAATGACTATTTCATAGGTTATAAATTAGCATAATGGTTTTAGCCAACTGAGTGTCTACACTGCTTTCTCCAACATTTTGGGGAACATTAGGGTAAAACTGAAGCAAATTAGTTTCATTTTTCTATAAATAACGTTTCTCTCTTAGAAGTTAAGATTAATCTTTGTTCATAAGAGTAGCAAGACAGCAATAATCGCACCGCGGATAAACGTCATTGGCTACGATACTGACACTGCACAAAGCTAAGATTAGCAAGACATTTAAAAACAATACTATTTTTCATGGAGAATTCATCTAAGGACTGATATAGAAGATAATTGCTGCTATTGTGGTCACCCACCCTATTTCAATCTCATCAGAAAGAGTGTCATATTCATGATAACATAATAAACTACTGTATTTGAATTGTACATTTTCTTACTCTGAATTGCAATTTTGCATTTTAATTTAAATGACAAGTCCAAATAGTTTCAAATATTTGAACAACAACAACAACAAAAGCAACAGCTTTAAATTCATCATTTTGTTCCACTTTTTCATTCATGACACTTCTATTATTTTGTAGAGTCACAATGAAAGAGTTCTTGTAGGCAAATTACCTTTATCTGTTACTCTGTTCTGGCCAGGAAACCACTAAGCTTTCTTTAAAAATGCATGAATGTTTCTTTAGTTCTTTGTTTAATCTGTCTTGTGTAGAATTCTAGAATCACTGCTTCTGATTTTCTGAGGAAGAATCATATAGTTTCCAAAAGTCTTTGGAAGTTTTTTTTTTTTTTTTTTTTTTTTTTTTTTTTTTCTGTTCTGATACTGACAGTAATTCCCAAGCCAATTGTATACTTTTAGTGGTCCTTGCATCTTATTCACGAAGTGCTCCTCTAGGCACTTTTATTCTATCTGTTTGTGGTGACTAAATGAGCTTCCACACAAACTCAATGGTAATTACTATTTTTAACATAAAGCTTCTTTTATAAGAATATCTAGTAATGCATTTTCCCTTCAGGTGTGACATTCTGTATTCAGATGAGTTAGGAGTTCTTGTTGGATTTGTTTTTCCTACAGTCATTCTGTTCTTTCCCCCAGTGTTCAAGATTAGACTCACTGTCTTTACACTTTTATTTAACAAAATTCTCTTCAGAAGTGCTTTGATTGCATGTCGTCTTTAAATCTATTCTCTGCTTGGGCTTCAATAGTCCATTATAAATGCAGGGGTCACAGATATGTATCAGGTAACACCAAATTATTTTCTTATCATATTACAACCTCAGATAAGGCTGAAGAAGTATTATGCTGTAGTGGTTTTCCTTGTGTTTTCAGAGTACAGCGTGTGTAATATTTTTCCATACCTCTTTTATTCCCAAATGTTCCTTGAAGTGCCTTTTTTTGTATTTCTCATTACACCAAAGTCATTACTAAATATCCAGTAAATTCTATAAATATGCAGTAAATACATTGTAGAAGAAGTGTTAATGTTCAAGAGGCTAAAGATTGAGAGAAAAGGAATGATTTTCCTCTTTTCCGTAATAAGGGATGACTGGATAAGGCTGAGACTATTTAGTGAAGAACCATTTGGAGGCTCAAATTATGCATATTTTCATATGCCTGCATATGAGTTTGTCTTTCTCCCTTTCCCTCATGGAGGCTATGTGTCTAACAAATCTTTGTTACCATTGCAAAAGAGTGTTGCATGAAAAGTTCTTTGATTAATCCTGTCTTGCTCTATACATGAGAATCTCTGGTTGAACTTAGTTGCATTGGGAGTTGTAAGGTGAACACACTGATCTAGAAACCCAGAAATGGAGCTCCAGTGCCCTGTTGAAATGAATTATGAACTTGAACAACTCCCTTCTCTTGTTGAGTTCTCAGTTACCTCAAATATTTCATGATAGTGTTCATTTGATTCCTGTGGCTCCTTGGACCTATTTTGTAAGTAAAAGTAATATCTCAAATTTGTGTCCATTATTAAATTTTAATAAAATCTACAGCAATGAGCTTGAGTAAAATGCAGATCTACAGAGTTCTCCTCAGTACTAGGTATCCAGGAGGGGGATCATCTTTGAATTAGATGGGATATACTTGGAGAAATGAACAATCATTATCTACTCTTGCTCAAAATAGTGGACATAGGTTTCTGTTGAATCTTTCCCAATTACAATCTTTTATTTTTCTCTATCTTTAATTATATAGTCTATTGATATGAAAGTGACATTAGGATTCTCCTGGGGATATAATTGATCTTGACCAATAAAGGATGATTGCTTGTGTATTCTTATTGCCTCCCCTTAGTGGTCCTGCTCTTGGTCCCATTGAGCTATGGAAAATGCTACATTTTTGTGGTCTATGACTCATACAACAAGTGCATGTGTAAAGAGTGTCAAAACACAGTAAGTTGCTGAGGTAGACAGCTTTGGAAAAATGATAATGTACATAAGTAGATGTTTCTAAACTGAAAAATACCTAATTTGGACCTAGAAATATGCTTTTACTACGTACTTAGTTATTAAGTCATGTAATGAGGGCTTATTTGCCCAGTCTATTACTTTGCCACAATGATAATAGCCCAGAAAACAAATCAAATGTTCTTAAAAGTGAAATATCATTGCCCAGTGTAACAAAAGAAAATACATGATTTCCTTCTGTGTTAATATCTGAGTTTTCTTTGTTACTGATTTGTTTAGTTTCCCACATAGTGCAGGCTTTCAAACATTTGTTATTTTCTTTTCATGCAATTTGAATTAATGTGGGTAATTGTGGTAGTTAGAAGCTTTACTCTCTCAGATGGTAATTATCCAATCTATAGTTTCATTCCAAAGGCAGTAAAACAGTAATAGAACAGTTGATATTTATCAGAAAGGATGTCTGGGTATTACTGAATATATATGGCATGTAATCATTGATGAATTAAAGCAGTTTACTCCCAGATTTATCTTAATCCCATCCTATGGTAGCAGATCTTATTAGTATTGCTACCGACTGTCAGTAAGCCTATGATATATTCATGCAAATCTGTTTCTTCTATGAGTTTGTCATAATTGCTGATAATTCATATTTTGAAAAGGAAAACATGCTAGAGAATTCTTGTTAGCAGATAAAGAATTCATATTTTGAACAAAAAAACATGCTTGAGAATTCTTTTTAGCAGATAAAATATCTAAACATTGGTAATCTGAAGGGAGAGGAACTGCTACAGCAGTAGGTTTGACTTTCTTTATATTTAATTTTGCTAGGTATCAAAAATGCTCATGCTTGGAATTCCTAAAACTTAAATAGTTGTCTTATTCTTTCACAAATGAGCTAGGAAAATCCATTTTGTAGCTTACACACTCCTTCCATTAATCTCTAAACAGCAGTGAAATTAAAAGTGACTTTTAGAGGACACGGTCTTTCATAAAATTCTTATTTATGCACAAATTATTTTATTTTAGAGAAAGGTTGATCACTATCCCCATGTTTCTCTCTAAAATATATATTTTGAAGATGGAAATTTATAGAGCTCTGTCAGGAACTGTGAAGATTCAGTCCATTTAATTTACAGGAATACTGAGAAGCTCCATGATGTACCATTCCAAAGTTAGCACTGTTCCCTCCCCTCCCTCTCCTCTCCTCTCCCTTCCCTTCCCCTCTTCTTTTCTTTTCTTATTTAGAGATATAGCCCAGCTCAACGTAGAGCTTTGTGGGACACTGCAAATATGCTGTAAATGTAGTAATACATGACATTTTGCCTTTCATGATCAATTTATAGATACATACAAGAAAGAATTGCAGTAGTAGCCACAGTCTTGTTTTCCACATATATAGGGTCACAGAAAACAGAAATAGAGCGCAACCTTCTTGAAAGCCAGTAGAGTCACTGTAAGCATGGATATTCTATTGCTTGCCCATTCTTCGGGTTCATGCAAGTTACTTGACATTTGAGAATTTTAGAATACAGAAATAAAAACATAGTATTATCTTTTCTTGACACAAAAATAGATTATTATTTGAATTATCTATCATATAGATGCCCAATACATATCTACATCTTCACAGTTTTTTTAATGAACATTCTTAGTTTATGTAACAATAGTTCTGAAAAGATATCTTGGGGCTCAAGTAATTGCAGAATCTAAAATTTAGTATTATCTTAGAAGCAGCTTCTGGAAAAGCAACGGATTTTTTTGGACATTTTATCAAACACTTTGTAAAGGAAAACATCTCTTGTGGGTGCGTTTTTACCTTGTTTTATTTGGTTCCGTGTACTTCTTTGTTCTTTAGAGACTGAAAGTTCTTCTGAGTCAAATGAGTTGAGAGTGTCAGTGGAAAAAATGCTACACTTATCCAAGTTCATGTTTTATAATATAGGTCTGTGATTATTTCAGAACAAAGACTTTCCAAGGCTCATCTGTCCAGAATTAAGATCATATGGTACAGTTATAAATGTGCACAAAGAGGGTATTTTGAGAGGCTCACAGTTGTGACCTCTTCTTTAACTTTGTATAGGCCTGAGAGACTTGTGAATGGAATTTGCCATGTATCAGAAAAGAGCAAAGGGTGTATTGTAGCTACTAAAAGAAAATCTGATATGACTGAGTCTAACAACTTAGTTATCCATATCAAGGTATAATTTATTTGGAAAACTACTTTATTTCCTAAGATATCATTTCATAGTTTATTGTTATTCCTGGTGTTATCGTTTGGGACATGTTGTATCAGTACATGACCATAACAAGTAGTACATTACATAGTGAAATATGACTGCAAAAGAATCAGTTACAATTGAAGAATGGGCTAGTTTTAAATATTGATCATATTCCAAACCACTTAAATTTCTGATTAGCTGATTTGCAGGGAATAGGTAATGCTCTTATGAATTCCTTGTAAGATGAACATAAGTATCTCCACAAAGATGATCTACTTTTGAATTCAGAAAATGTAACCATGCGCCTTTACAGCCTCCATGTTTGATAGCTTCTATATCTGAGAATCCACAGTGGAGAAGAAAACATGTATTCATGGAAATAAATATTTTTCTGGACATTAAATGGGTTTTCCAAATACATTAATCTCACCCTTTTATTTATTTAATCATTTTGAGATACAGGGGATTGAACCAAAGTCTTTCATCCTCAGCCCTTTTTTATTTATTTTATTTTGAGACAAGATCTCACTAATTTGCCGAGACTGGGCTCAATCTTGGAATCCTACTGCCTCAGCTTCCCAAGGTGCTGGGATTACAGGTATGCACCACCATGCCAAGTTCATCCACTT